GGTTCTGTCAATAAAGCCATCTCAGCCTTGGCCCATTTCTGTTCCCTTGTTGAAGAGGTGTGGTGGTCATTTGGAGGAGAAGAGGCACTCTAATATTTTGAGTTTTCAGCATTTTTGTGTTGACTTTCTCATCTCTGTGGGCTTATCAACCTTTGATATTTGAAGTTGCTGACCTCTGAATGGGCTTTTTATGTTCATGTTGTTGTTGTTTTCTGTTTTCCTTTTCTTTTTTTTTTTTTTGATACAGGGTCTCACTTTGTTGCCCAAGGTGGAGTGCGGTGACATGATCTCAGCTCACTGAAACTTCTGCCTCCCAGGTTTAAACAGTTCTCCTTCCTCAGTCTCCCTAGTAGCTGCGACTACAGGTGCCTGCCACTGTGCCCAGCTAATTTTTTTATTTTTTATTTTTAGTAGAGATGGGGTTTCACCATGTTGACCAGGCTGGTCTCGAACTCCTGAACTCAGGTGATCTGACTGCTTCAGTCTCCCAACAGTGCTAGGATTCCAGGTATGTGTTTGTTTTTGGAGACAGTGTCACTCTGTTGCCCAAGCTGGAGTGCAGTGGTGTGATCTCAGCTCATTGCAACCTCTGCCTCCCGGGTTCAAGTGATTCTCCTGCCTCAGCCTCCTAAATAGCTGGGACTACAGGTGCCTGCCACTACAACCAGCTAATTTTTGCATTTTTAGTAGAGATGGGGTTTCACCATGTTGGCCACGCTGCTCTTGAACTCCTGACCTCAAGTGATCCGCCCACCTCAGCCTCCGAAAGTGCTGGGATTACAGGTGTGAGCCACTGTGCCTAGTCTTGTTATTTTTCTTTTACTGGTCAGGCCACTTTACTGTAGGGCTGCTGCAGTTTGCTGAGGGTCTGCTCCATACACTAGTTGCCTCAGTTTTTCCTGTACCTGGATGTGTCACCAGCAAAGCCTATGAAACAGAAAAGATGGCAGCCAGCTTCTTCTAAAAGCTCCATCCCAAGGGGGCACTGACTTGTGGCTGGCCCAAATGTACCTGTAGGAGGTGACTGGAGACCCTGGTTGGGAGGTCTCACCCAGTCAGGAGGAACAGCGTCAGGGACCCGCTTAAAGAAGTAGGCTGGCTGCTTTTTGTACAGCAGGTATGCTATATTTGGGGGAACTCTTCCTTGTCCAGACGATTTATGTTCTCCAAAGCCAACAGACTGAAATGGCTGAGTCAACCAAACTAGAGATGGTGGTCGCTCCACCCACTGGGAACTCAGATTCATCTCAGGCAGATTCTAGCCTGCTGCTGTTGGCTGGCTAGAATTCTAAGCCAGTGGGTCTTAACTTTTGAGGTGCTTAGGAAGTGGGGCCCACAGAATGACACTGGCTCCCTGGATTCATCATCCCCCTTCCTAGGGATTTGTACAGATTTCCTGCCTTGCTGGGGGTCCTGGAGCTGATGTAAAACTCCTGGGTCTCTGTGTGTGCCTCAGTGGCTGCTCTGCCAAGACTGAACACAGCTCTGTGTATTGGACCCAAGGCCCTAGTGGCATGGGCTCGCACAGGGATCCTGATCCGTGGGTTGCAAAGATCTGTGGGGGAAATGTGGTTTCCTGGGCGAGACTGCACCATCACTCTCCATTTCCCTTGGCTGGGGGTGGGGGTTCCTATGGCTCCGTGCTGCTCCTGGGTGGGCCATCAACCCCCACCCTCGCTTTTCTTCAGTCTCTGTGGGTTGAGTTGTTTGCCTAGTTAGTTCCAGTGCAAGAAACTGAATATTTCAGTTGAAGGTGAATTCATTCAACTCTTTTTCATTCCTCTCTGTGAGTGCCGTGGACCTCAGCTGCTAATCAGTCATCTTGGATCCTCCTATATTACAATTTTAAATACCTGCGCTAAAAACTGAGGCTGCCATACCTCTGTGGATGATGGAGATGAAATCGTGGAGCTCAAGGTTTGCTGGGGTTGGGTTCCTGTTGTTGCATGTGGGGCCAGGCCCTAAACCTGCTAAAAAGTAGCAGTACATCAGCCAGCACAACTCTTTGGGACAAAGAGGCTGATGACCCCTGCCTGGCATGTGGACCAGGTAGGCGACGCAGGGTGGGGATGGACTAGGGGCGCCTGTTTTTTAAACTTGCAAATGTTTCTATGTTCTCCATTTATTTCTATCATGGCATCCTGCTCATTTCATAGATGTAGTGTTTTATTTCTGTGAGGGTTTTGTGGCAATATAATACAGTAATACATTCACAAGGCTCAAATTATGAAGGTTCAAAAATGATTCCAAGGTGCAAGTCTCCCTCTCAGCCCTGTTCCAAAGCCTGCCACCTTGGCCATCCTTCCGTGGGGCCATTAATGTCACCAGTTCATTTTATAGTGTGTAATATAGTGCACATGCAATTTTCTCTTTTCCCCACAAGCAGTAACTACTATACACAGTTTTGAGTCTTTTTTCCATGTAATGATACATTGTGAAGGATGTCTCATTATCGGAACATAAAGAGCTGCTTCTGTGTTTGTACAGTTGCCCAATATTCTGTTTACATGGATGCACCACTATTTATTTAGCTGTCTTTTATTTATTTATTTAGAGACAAGGTCTCACTCCAGGTGCCCAGGCTGTAGTGTAATGGCACTATCTTGGCTCACTGTAGCCTCGGCCTCCTGGGCTCAGGTGATTCTCCCACCTCAGCCTCCTGAGTAGGTGGGACTACAGGTACACGCCACTACATTCGATGAATTTTTGGTATTTTTAGTAGGTATGAGGTTTCGCCATGTTGCTCAGGCTGATCTCAAACTCCTGGACTGAAGTAATCTGCCATCCTCAGTCTCCCAAATTGCTGAGATTGCAGGTGTGAACCACTGTGACAGGCTATTTAACTGGCTTTCTAGTTAATTCCCAAAATTTTACTATTACAAACAAGGCTAACATAAAAAAAATTACAAAACAAAATTTTACATTTTTGATAAAGGCGCATTCCTATTTCTCATGAGCATGAACTGTGAGCCCTTTCTGGGGCTCCTGAGGACATGTTGGCTTGCACTGCAGCTTTGCTGCTATAGGCTGTGAGATTTCAGCCTTTCCCACTCTGCAAAGTCAGGTCCCACTCACTGATTCATTTCCCAGCCTCCAAATATGGCTGATGTCCCTCATCTTTTGTGGGCTCTTTTCCCATTCTTTGTTCTCATGGATTTAAATGTTTAAAAAATTCCTTGACTGTCATTGTGTTTAGGGTTTTGAGGGAATAAAAATAAATACATGTATTCAGTCTGCTATCTTCAATGTGAAGTTTCTAATCCTTTGCTTTTACAACTTCTATAGGTTGTATTATTTGTCTTTTTCTGGAAATGTGGCAGTGGCTCAGTTTGGATATGAGGTTTTCATCTTTGTGCTACAGGGGAACACTTATCAGCAGATGTAGGCAGGGGACGCTCAGACCCTCCACTTGAAGGCACGGATTGCTAAGGTTAGGCTCTAGCGGATTTTTATTTTTCTCTAATCACATTTAGTACAAAATGTAACACAGTATTCTAAGTTCAAAATTAACTTTTTTTCTGACAGGAAACTGAAACTTGATGGATGGCTAGGTTAAAAAAATAAAGGAAAAGAAAACAATAATAAACATGGCTTGATGAAGGAGGTCTGAATCGGACCAAGCCCTTTGATGGTTACAGGTTAAAACAAGCTCACAAAGAAACAGCGGGTCATGCAGGCAACAGGTTCCCAGACTGCAAGAGTGACAATTCCCATGACATTCAGCATTAAGGAGACCTTTTCGGGATTGAGGTGCAAAATTTTACAAGGGCCAGTGACTGGGGTGCTCTCAAAAGGAGGGGACCAGACAAGTTAGACATATTTAGTCTGGATGAGAGAGGACTTGGGGAGCCCCAACAAGAGTTTTCAGATATGTGAAGGGCCTGAATAAGGAGAAAAGCTCCTCCTACTCTGCACTAGCAGTCACTCTTAAGCTTCTTGGACATCCCAAACCCCAGTACACACACACATAACCACAAAGAACTGCGCAGGCCGTGATCACCATTTATGTAATTATTTACCTATGCATCACAACTAATACAAACACCTCAGAAGACAACACTGACTCTTATCACAAGCAATCCCTCTGATACTTTCTATTTTGTTTACTTAAATGATGACTGTGACCCACTATAAAGCACTCACAGTCCGGCACAGATCACACCCACAGCACAGAGATTCCTCCACTGGATAAAAAGTGGGGTTGTGGTTTAGGATTCTAAGGGGATAGAGAGAATCCCAGGAGAGAATGGGAGGTCCCAGAAGGCAGTGGGGGGTCCAGGGAGGCAGGAGGCAGTCCCAAGAAGCAGTGAGCTCCATGATATGGAGGATATTCACACTTGTGTCAGAGAAGGATAAGAGAATAATTTTCCCACCGAGTAAGAGGTCGGATCGGATGATACGCAAAGCCCCTCTTCTGAATCCAGGACCTTACTCATCAGGACAAAAATTCACCAGCATTTATAAAAACAAACCCTACCAGGTTGCAGAATACCTCCTCTGCCCTGTTCTCACCCCTCCCTTCCCCACTGGCCTACCTGGAACACAAGTACACCCATGTGGGAAACTGCCAGTTGAATCTTGGTTCCTTCCCTGTCAGAAGCCATGTGGAATCTGATGCCGTACATTTCCAACTTTCGAGCAATTTCAAGCACCTGGAAATCCGACTCAGCAGGTGTCTGGCCCCTGTAATGAAAAATGGTAGAATCATACCACTACAAACACTTGATCTCTAAAAGAGCCAAAATGCATCACAGAAGTGATCACGAAAACAAAATGAAACAACAACGAAGGCTTTGTGTGTTTAGAGGGCAGACTGCTCACTGTCTGGATGTTTACCTGCCACAAAAACAACATGCCACATGTAAAGGCCAAAGGCATTCTCTGTTCTCTTCTGTTCTGTAACTACTTTGTAATGGGTGCAACACTTTCTTTGCATACACTACCTACTCAGCCCTACATTTGCTCAAGAGTGACAAGGTTACACACAAACACTACAGGCAGAGACAAATTTTAAATCAGGATAAATACCACAGAGGGCTGATGCGGTGGCTCACACTTGTAATCCCAGCATTTCGGGAGGCCGAGGTGGATGGATCACCTGAAGTCAGGAGTTTGAGACCAGCCTGGCCAAGATGGCAAAACCCTGTCTCTACTAAAAATATAAAAGTTAGCTGGGCATGGTGACAGGTGCCTGTAATCCCAACTACTCAAGAGGCTGAGGCAGGAGAACTGCTTGAACCCGGGAGGTGAAGGCTGCAGTGAGTTGAGATCGTGCCATTGCACTCTAGCCTGGGCGACAGAGCGAGACTCTGTCCAAAAAAAAAAAAAAAAGAAAAAAAATAACAAAGATAACACTAATATCTCATCACACTCGTTTTCTTTTTCACTGTATTATTATTATTATTTTTATCATTTGAGACGGCGTCTTGCTCTGTCACCCAGGCTGGAGTGCAGTGGCACGATCTCAGCTTACTGCAACCTCCACCTCCCAGGCTCAAGAGGATTCTCCTGCCTCAGGCTCCCAAGTAGCTGGGATGACAGGTGTGTGTTACCACACCCAGTTAACTTTATTTTTAGTAGAGATGGGGTTTGCTATGTTGGCCAGGCTGGTCTCAAACTCTTGACCTCAGGTGATCCGCCTGCCTTGGCCACCCAAAGTGCTGAAATAACAGGCATGAGCCACTGCACTTGACCAACATTTTTTCATTAAAAAAATATTTTTTTTTTTTTACCATCTGGAATACTTGTGCCTTATAAACCCGATTTATCACTCACTCATTTAGAGACAGGGTCTCGCTCTGGCGCCCAGGTTGGAGTGTAGTGGCATAATCTTGGCTCACTGCAAGTTCTGCCTTCCAGGCTCAAGTGAGCCTTCCACCTCAGTCTCCTGAGTAGCTGAGACCACTGGCATGCATCACCACACCTGGCTAATTTTTTGTAGAGAGGGGTTTGTCATGTTGCTGGGGCTGGATGTGTGCTCCTGGACTCAAACGATCCACTTGCCTCAGGCTCCCAAATTGCTGGGATTACAGGCATGACCCACTGTGCCTGGCTTTTTTCTGCAGTTTCAAAGATTCAAAAGCAATGTGGTAAAGTCAAGAAAAACACTTTTTAAATATCCTATTCAGTAATTATAAAGGTGTTTTCAGCGGATCATGAAAAAACCATTAGAATCATAACATAATATAAGAAATGTATAATGATTAAAATAAAGGTACAATATGTCTTTAAAAAAAAAACCTGAAGAACAAGATTAAAAGAAATATAAGATATGCAATGAAGCTGTGATGATTGTGACGCACACAGCCTCAAATGAACACAGTGAAGGCCTAAGATGTAGGGCAGAGCTTCCTGCTTCCTGGTCCACTCGGAAGAGTTCAACTGTGTTCCTGTATGAAGCAGATCACATGACTCACCCTTCTCTTACTAGCTGTCTAGAGTTTTTAGCAGATACACACGCACATGTAAGCACATACACACACTTAAAATTTTCTTAATGGCAGGAAGGGGCCACATCTTTTTATCTGCTTCTGTAACAGTGCAATGGCAAGTATACAATAGGTGCTTAATGAATATTTCTGAACAATAACAACAGGAATACAGCTTGTTTAAATGGGCACATACTTTCGTTCACTGATTGAAGTAATTAAGGTACTGGAGATTTGATCAAATGTCTGACATCATTCCTACACAGAAATATTGACAAACATAGAGATGTTTATATGATGTGATACGTTAAGAGATGGTCACAAATAAAGTTAAGAAGGAAAAGTTCACTTTTAAGAAATCTCACTGAAAAAGCAGTAACTCTGTGGGAAAGAAACATTATTAAAGTGTTTCACTTTAACAAATATAAATAAAGATGCAGACACATAGGCACAAGCACATATGCATGCATACATAACAGTATACAATGCACACAGGCACACACACCCACCCACACCCACACCCACACACACCCCTGCCCTGAGGGTCCAGCTCTTTCTTCTTCCATAGGCAGGCTTCTCAACATAAGTGCCCAAAGATGCAAAGATGTTGCCACTGTCTCCTCACTGCACTTTCAGTGTATTTGAACCTAGAATTCAACCTCAACACTCACTGAAGCTGCTGAAGGTGATGCACTGCCACACTGCCAAGCTCAGAAACCTGCTCCTGTGCCTACCTCCCCGGGCCTGGTGGTAAGCCACCACACAAGAGGCTGTGACCAGCATCCTAAAACATGCTCTCCTGGCACCTGTGCCCTCCCATGCTCCTGGCTGCCGAAGGCTCCTGTGAGTGCTTCCTCCTTTACTCAGCCTCTCAATGTCAGCTCTTCAGGGGTTCATCCTGGGCTCTCCTCCCTTTCTGACCTGTATCTGCCCTCTGCCTAGCTGACTTCGCCCAGCCTACGTGCTGGGAACACTCTCCCCAGCATCCCAAACCCACCTGTCCACTAAGGACTGTCCCTCAGGTTGAACAGTTTGCAGTACAATGCCCAATTGCCCCTCCCTTAAGTCCAGCCCCTGCTGTGTGTCTCAGCAGGGAGGGACTGCCCCCAACCCTAGGAATGCAGACTGAACTGGTGGTCGTTTCCTGCTGGGACAGCACATAACACTAGGAGAGGGCCCTTTGCTCTTTGGGTCAAGGTTTCAATGTGACACAGAACAGCTGTATCTTCCTCGTTACCCTCCAGAATCACGGCAACCCAGAAGATGCTGGAGAGAGGCATAGCCAAGGGTACCCAGGAGGTCAGGGCGGAAGCCCTGCCATGCACTGCCCTGCAAGGAGGCCTCCTCAGGGTCAGATCAGGAGAATGGATGAGAAGCACCGACTTACACGCATGGGATGCCCCACACTGTCACGTCCAAGATGGGGCTCTGCAAGCATGGTCTCACTGTATGTACGATGGGGTAAAACAGTGCATGCCATGCAGTGGGTCTGAGGACTACACACAAATGCTTCTAAGAGCTGTCCGTAATTGTCACCACGGCACCTCTAGTATCAGCTGGCACTTCTACCTCCAGCCCTTGAACCAAAACAGCCCGTGCCATGCTGGAACCTCTCTCTCTTCTCTGCTTCCCCGCTTCCTTCCCAGGCTTTGCCTGGAATGCTTCCTCGCTCACTTTGTCCGCCTAGGTCCTCCCCCGAGCCTCCGTGAGCCTCCCTTTGGACTTCTTTCAGCTCACAGTATATGAGCTATGCTCCTGCTACACTGTTCACATTCTCATATGTAGGAATGGGTTTGTCTATCTCATGACTGCCACGCTGCTGGGCACACAAAAGGCACTCCCCTGCACACCCACGAGATCCTCCACGCTGTGGGTGGTGAGATGCATGAAACGCACAGTCTCACGGGGTCAGGTCAGATCTGTACAGGGAGGCATCTCAGTCTGTGCTGCTCAAACCAACTACCCAGCACTGACAGCCGTGGTGGGTGCATCGCTGGCACTCGTACTTTGAAGATGCGAAAGGGCAGCTGCCAGCAGATCCCAGTAGAGCATTAACGACCCACATGAACACACATGATCTGACAAACAAGCCCACATCTCAACAGGATGTGTCACAAAGGCAAGGCTAAGTCCTCCAGACTAACTTTCACCAGCTGAGTGCTCCCTTTGGTGACTAAAGCTCCCAGCCATCTGGACCAGAGCCCACATCCCTTTCCCATACTGTCCTTCAATCCTTTTTCCCTTAGCACTTTCTCTCACTTCAATCCAGAAAAACCAACCGGTGTCAAGTCTTAGAGAAATCAAAATAAGATGAGGCGAAGGACATGATGCCAGAGGATTCCCAATGCCCTGACACAGGTAGACACTGTTACCCTCACACAGTCCCCTCCTCCTCCACTACAGCACGGTGTCTTCCCTGTAAAGGACCCTTTCTGCCACACTGCAGGGACAATGCAGCAGCTGAGACCCCTACAACAGCCACTCCATCCTGCTCACTAGCATACTCCTCCCCCAGGCCCTGGTATCTTTTCCAGCACCTTCTTAAGCAACACATTTTACAGGTGTGAAGGTGCTTCAGGCCAGGACTGCATACTCTGTGTGTCTGTCAAGCTGCTTCTGGTGGCAGCTGCACATCCTGAGCCTGGGAGCAATGGTCCTCATGTTAGAATGTTCCAGAAGTCAGGACAACAGTCTTTTCTCATTACACACTCTTTAGTCATTACGGTGGTGAAAAGGTGCCGACAGACAATTGTGATGACTTACACGTGCTTCCGATGGAATTCTAGTATCTTCTCAAGGCAGCGCTGCTGGCCAGGCAAATACTCGTTGGCTTTGAGGTGCTCGCGGTCCAGCATTTCATCGTAATCTCCTATTTCCGCTGAGATAAAAGTCAGTAATTCTAATTTTTAAATAAACTGTAAGCATTTATACATGTCAGTGCATACATTGAAAGTAAAAAAGAAAATCTGCAGCAAAATAGCAAATAAATAGCAAAAATTTGTAGCAAATTTGTCCCAAATTTGTAGCAAAATAATATATCCCTAAGAAAGCAAGGTTTTGTATTTTATTTTTCCAAATATTTTATGCTGTTAAAAAACAAATATAATGGGAAATAAGGAGGATTTCTTGAAGAACAAAGGCCTGATGAGTAACTCCAGGGAGGCAAACTGAGTCATGAGTTTAATGTGATTATTATTTCGAGACAAGGTCTCATTCTGTTGCTCAGGCTGGAGTGCAGTGGTGCAATCGTCACTGCAGCCTCAACCTCCTGGGCTCAAGCAATCTGCCCGCCACAACCTCCTGGGTAGCTGAGATTACAGGTATGCACCATAATGCCCAGATAATTTTTGTATTTTTTGTAGAGATGAGGTTTTGCCACATTGCCTAGGCTGGTCTCAAACTCCTGGACTTAAGCAATCCTCTTCCCTTGGCCTCTCAAATGTGCTGGGAATACAAGCATGAGTTACTGCACCTGGACTATTATTATTTTTAAACCACACCTTAAACACAAGTTGTCTCAAGATTATCATGACCAGAATGAAGTATTTATTTTAGGATAATGTATTTTAAATGATTTTTTCCTTAGGCCTTCTCAAATTTCTTGATAACATCTCTAATTTCATGTATTTTAAGGCCACAATATCTTAATAACATAAAGTCCAATAATTTAAAGCAATATGCTTTTATTTTGAGACAATCTCATATTCACAGATCAGTTACAAGCATAGTACAGTTTTTCCTCCTTTGAGCCATTTGAGAGTGAGTTGCTAACACGTTAACTTGCCATACTTCAGTATGGACTTCCTATAAACTAGGACATTTGATATGGTTTGGCTGTGTCCCCACCCAAATCTCATCTGAACTGTAACTCCCACAAGTCCCACATGTTGTAGGAGGGAACTGGTAGGAGGTAACTGAATCATGGGGGCAGGTCTTTCCTGTGCTATTCTCATGACAGAGAATCAGTCTCACTATCTGATCTGATGGTTTTATAAGGGGGTTTCCCTGCACAAGTTCTCTCTTGCTGCCGCCATGTAAGAAGTGCCTTTTGCTTTCCACCATAATTGTATGGCCTCCCCAGCCATGTGGAACTGTTAGTCCATTAAACCACTTTTTCCTTATAAATTACTCAGTCTTGGGTATGTCTTTATCAGTAGCATGAAAACGGACTAATACAGTAAATTGGTACCAGTAGAGTGAGGCACTACTGTAGATACATAAAAATGTGGAAGCTACTCTGGAACTGGATAACAGGCAGGGGTTGGAACAGTTTGGAGGGCTCAGAAGAAGGGAGGAAAATGTGGGAAACTTTAGAACTTTCTAGAGACTTGTTGAATGGCTTTGTCCAAAATGCTGATAGTAAGATGGACAATAACGTACAGGCTGAGGTGGCTTCAGAGGGAAATGAGAAACTTGTTGGGAATTGGAGCAAAGATGACTCTTGGTATGTTTTAGCAAAGAGGCTGGTGGTATTTTGCTCCTGCCCTAGAGATTTGTAGAACTTTAAACTTGAGACAGATGATTTAGGGTATCTGGCAGAAGAAATTTCTAAGCAGCACAGCATTCAAAAGGTGACTTGGGTGCTCTTAAAGGCATTCAGGTTTATAAGGGAAGCAGGGCATAAAAGTTTGGAAAATTTGCAGCCTGACAATGTGACAGAAAAGAATATCCCATTTTCTGAGGAGAAATACAAGCCAGCTGCAGAAATTTGCATAAGTAACAAGGAGCTGAATGTTAAATTCAAAGACAATGGGGAAAATGTCTCCAGAGTATGTCAGAGGTCTTCATGGAAGACCCTCCCATCACAGGCCCAGAGGCCTAGAAGAAAAAAATGGTTTTGTGGGCTGGGCCCAGGGCCCCTCTGCCATGTGCAGTCTAGGCACTTGGTGCCCTGCATCCCAGCCACTCCAGCCATGGCTGAAAGGGACCAATGCAGAGCTCAGGCTGTGGTTTCAGAGGGTGCAGGCCCCAAGCTTTGGCAGTTTCTATGCGGTGTTGAGCGTATGAGTGCACAAAAGTCAAGAACTGGGGTTTGGGAACCTCTGCCTATATTTCAAAGGATGTATGGAAATGCCTGGATGCCCAGGCAGAAGTTTGCTGCAGGAGCAGAGCCCTCATGGAGAAACTCTGTTAGGGCAGTATGGGAGGGAAATGTGGGGTCAGAGCCCCCACACAAAGTCCCCGCTGGTGCCCCACCTAGTGGAGCTGTGAGAAGAGGGCCACCATCCTCCAGGCTCTAGAATGGATCCACTGACAGCTGGAAAAGCCACAGACACTCAACGCCAGCCTGTGAAAGCAGCCAGGACTGGTGCTGCACCATGCAAAGCCACAGGGGCTGAGCCCAAGGCCATGGGAGCCTACCTCATGCATTAGTGTGACCTGGATGTGAGACTTGGAGTCAAAGGAGATCATTTTGGAGCTTTAAGATTTTACTGCCCTGCTGCACTTCGGACTTGCCTTGGGCCTGTAGCCCCTTTGTTTTGACCAATTTCTTCCATTTGGAATGGCTGTATTTACCCAATACTTGTACCTTCACTGTAACTATGAAGTAACTAACTTGCTTTTGATTTTACAAGTTCATAGGCAGAAGGGACTTGCCTTGTCTCAGATGAGATGTTGGACTGTGGATTTCTGAGTTAATGCTGAAATGAGTTAAGACCTTGGGGGACTGTTAGGAAGGCAAGACTGGTTTTGAAATATGAGGACATGAGATTTGGGAGGAGCCAGGGTTGAAATGACATGGTTTGGCTGTGTCCCCACACAAATCTCATCTTGAATTGTAACTCCCACAGTCCCATGTATTGTGGGACGGACCCAGTGGGAAGTAACTGAATCACAGGGGTGGGTCTTTTCTGTGCTGTTCTTGTAATAGTGAATAAGTCTCATGAGATCTGATGGTTTTATGAGGGATTTTCTCTGTACAAGCTCTCTCTTGCTACCACCATGTACATCTTTATCAGCAGTGTGAAAACAGACTAATACAACATTCTTACCCGCAGCCTCGTAAAACCACCCAGATCAGAAACAGGCTATGATCTGAGGCTCCATCACAGATGTGGACGCCAGTCATATTTTACCAACTGCCCAATTATGTTTTTTCATAGCAAAAAGACCTGGTTCAGTCATACGTTGTATTTGTTAACATGTGTCTACCTGAGAAATCTTTCAGCCAAATGAGTAAGAAACAAAGTCACTTTGAAAACTTTTATTAATGATAATCAACACGTCCCCTGGTAAAGGGCAGCAAGCCCATAATAAAATTTACTTTCTGAAGAAAGTGTGTCTGGGGAAGGACCAAGGAAGCTGCAAATAACCTATATACTTATTAATTCCTAAAAATTTGGACACTTTCTGTATCATATTTCCTGCATTCAAATTTCAGAAACATAGGTTCTATGCTAGGAAGCTGTGGTCCCACCACTAGTCCAGGAGCAATATAGGTATTTCTGTTTTTCTATTCCCATTGCTTGGGGCATGGCAAGACCCCAGCAAGGCATGTACTCATTTCTCAGAATCTCTTCTTATAGTTCTCATAGTTTATTTCTGAAGTAACTATAATTCTTCACACAGTTCTGAACCATCTTTTGATCTCCATGAGATACTGAAGAAATATCTTCTTTTTCCTTAATGGCTAATGCTTAACTAATCTGAGAGGACTATAACTTTTATCCCAGTGAGGCCCTTTCCAGGATTTGCTTAGAGTTTGGTTTATAGTCTGGCTCCTAGACTGAAGATGCATTGTTGGTAAAATATACAAAGGCATAAAACCCAAAGGAAGAAATGTGGCTACAGATTTTGACCTTGACCTGTTTGCTGGGTGGAAACTACTTGCTCCTCAAGGGACTCCTCAAGGAGTTCCACTTTATAGAAGTTAATCTTTAGCTTATAAAGAATTTTGAAATTGAAACACCGCATTCTATGGTCAGGCTCATTAACTAGACATGTGCATCAGCAACTAATTGTAGTTATTCTGAGTGCGGATACATCTGTGCCATGCTCAGTGTATGCTCCCCCACCAGTGGGGAGATACTCACACTGCAGAAGATGGGACGTGAGAAGGGCTGATGTGGTGTCAGCACAGGTCAAACGCTCTTCCAGCAGGTCCCTCTTAAGCTGCAAGGCAAACAAGTATCTAGAAGAGAGTTCAAAATAAGACAGAGATCAACTCCAAACATTCTCTGAATGTAACACAGACACATCTTCACAGCAAGACAGCAAATGAGCCCTAGAAAGTGGCAGTGACCCAACAGTGGGCAAAATGCAAGGCCATCACAAAACAGCAAAGTCACAAAAGGCCTTTCATGAAACTAACAGTTGCCATGCAAAGGTCAGATGACAAACCAACTCAGCAGACTGAGTCACACACACGGGAGAGTGCACAGAAAGGGCTGAACATGCTGAGGCACTCTGATGCGAATTAAAAAAAAATTGGCTGGGTGTGGTGGCTCACAGCTGTAATCCTAGCACTTTGGGAGGCTGGGGCAGGTAGATCACCTGGGATCAGGAGTTCGAGACCAGCCTGACCAACATGGTGAAACCCTGTCTCTATTAAAAAGACAAAAATTAGCCAGTTGTGGTGGTGCAGGCCTGTATTCCCAGCTACTCAGAGGCTGAGGCAGGAGAATTGCCTGAACCTGGGAGGCGGAGATTGCAGTGAGCCGAGATCGTGCCACTGCAC